TATATATATATAATATATAGATTCATAATATGTATAAAATAAATAATAGTAAACTAAGTAAACTAATCAGCGCAACTATTTATATATTTAGAAATATTTATATAAATTTTATATTTCCTCGAAAACCTTTCCCAATTCGTGTAAAAAATATGTGTATTTGTGTAATTTTGTTGTTTAATTATTCGAACATTAACTTAACTGAGAAAAGCCCCACGTTGCAAATTTATGAAAGTCAATGAAAAATTATAAAGTTATTATGTTTGTGAAACAAGAACTAAGAATTTTATTTCCTCAAATATCTTAGTTATTTGCAATTGAAATGTTTCTCGTTAATAAGATTTATGAAAAAAAAAAAACGTTTAAATTGAAGAATTAAGGAACTTTTTGCTGCTCAATCGTAACATGAAATGTATCAAAATAAAATCTCTTCAGAATTTCCAACTTATCACACTTCAAAAAACAAGTGTCAAGTTTTCCAAAATTGATCGTGATTTGTTTCTGAATGAAATTGTATGGAATCGAAACAGTTGATTGCAATTTTGTTCAATTGTTTTTGGCGACCGACGTGGGGCTTTTCTCAGTTAAGTTAATGTTCGAATAATTAAACAACAAAATTACACAAATACACATATTTTTTACACGAATTGGGAAAGGTTTTCGAGGAAATATAAATATTTATATAAATATTTCTAAATATATAAATAGTTGCGCTGATTAGTTTACTTAGTTTACTATTATTTATTTTATACATATTATGAATCTATATATTAACTATTATTTATTTTATAATAGTTAATAACATATTAATTCATACATTATTTAGAAATATTATAAATGCAGTAATTATATAAATATTTAGAGCATTGAGTAGTTGGTAACTTTGTTTTGTTGGTTGTGGCGGACTTGCTCACGTCACCCTACCTCACTTCACTTCACCTTGATGCAACTAGAATGTGGTAAGAACACCGACCTGCATTTGTTTTATTTTTCTTTTGTTTTCTTCTCTCTTTTATTTTTATTATTATTATTTTTATTATATACATGTACGAACTCGATTTCGTTCCGCTTCTTTTCCTTTGTGCGTTTTCTATTTGTTTCATGTTGTCTTTTGTTTTGGCGCAAATTAACTAATTAAAAAAAACAACGACGACGCGCAAATCTTGCGTTCGTCTCTTCACACGAAAGTGTTTGGCTTCTTCGATCCGCATGCATAAATGTGCTTCGTTTTACGTTTGTTTTCTTTTAATTATTGACTGTTTGTCGCATCCTATTACAATAATAATAATTATAATAATCGTTCACACTTCATCTACTCACTTCACTTTCACACTTATCTCTATCTTTACGTCTATATCTATTCTCTATCTATCTTCTAATCTTAATACGTTTTGTTTTTGTGTGTTGTTCTCTTTTCTTTCGTTTTCTGTGACTTTTCCTCATCAGAATCAATCGACCCGAGGCGACGATGGGAACTGGCGCCCGGCGCATCCACCCGATTTAATAATGACCACTTTGCGGGCATTACGTAATTAGCCTGAAAAGCCACAACCATTTCCATCCTCGCCTCTCTATAATCGTCAACATCGATAACCAACCGAGAATCAGTTTTCAGAAACAAAAAAAAGTAGTGTTAAAAACGTAAAACTTAAAATAACAAATTCATGTAGTTTTTAGACAAATCATTCTCATTTTACGCGAATTAAATTTAAATATTTCATTGAAGCGAATTCTTCATTAATTCAATCATCATCAATCAATAAAGTCGAATTATTATATTTTTTTATTATTTTTTTGTATCAGAAGAAATTTTTGTATTTACTCATTTCGTGTGGTTGTGATTCGCAGGTCGCAGCATAATCGTGAAGAAAGATGACGGATCTCAGGTGAAGGAGTCCACTGACAGCTCCACGACTTTGGAGGACGACGACATCAAAGGTAAGGAAGAATCCAAAGCCTTCTTTCTATCATTTTTTTTTAAATTTATCCGAGTGCGCGTCGCTACTGCTGACTACCAACTTAACAACATCTTAGTTTGTATTTTTATTGATCTGCACTCCAATTAACCCAAAAACAAATAATTGCAGTGAATCATCGTTCTTTAAACGATCCCCCCTCCCCCAAAAAACACCACCAAAACCTTTGAAACACCATCAAAAAAAAAAAGAAATCAACCCACGCGTCTTTCTAGTGAACTTCTTTAGTGCAGAGTCGACTCATCAAGTGTACATACCGAGCATTCTTAGTGCGTTTAACCCCCAACCTCCCTTATCGTTGACAAAAAAAAAACAACATTATTTTAGTCACCTTCACCATTGCATACCACTGGTTTATTCAATCAAACTACAGATTTAGTCCATTAAGAAAATAGTGTATAGATTAATTCATCAAACGCAAAATATCAATTCGAATGAGCAGCCAAAATTTACTGTTTAAATAAAACAAAATTTATAAAATTCTTCAAGTTATTAGCTACTTTTAATTTATATTTTATTTCCTCAAATATCTTAGTTATTTGCAATTGAAATGTTTCTCGTTAATAAGATTTATGAAAAAAAAAAAACCTTTAAATTGAAGAATTGAGGAACTTTTTGCTGCTCAATCGTAACATGAAATGTATCAAAATAAAATCTCTTCAGAATTAAAATTAGTAAATTCAGAAATTTCTGATTCATAACTTGTTTTTGCTATGATTTTAACAAAACAAAAATTAAGAGATTTTATGAATTGTATCATTCAACTATATTTATACAAAGTTAATTTAATTGTATTGTTCGAACTAATTTTTTTTGCACTCTCTCTCCCCCGTCAACCCCCACGACACATACACGTATTATTATGTAATTAGCGCACAAGCAAATCAATGACATCTTAGGCACCGTTGTAAATATACGAAAACAATTGAAAGAAAATCGATTGTACATAAAAAAATCAAGTGACAATTTTGTACAAAATGAATGCAAATGAAGTCCCACACCCATCTTTCTTATATAAGTCGCACCTTTATCGTCGCTTGTCTTTTATCTATCTATTCTTGTAAATATTTAACGAAATAAGAATTTAAGAAGGAAACAATTACTTATAATAATTAATTACGAAATCTGAGAGAAATACGTTTTTTTGGATAATGTACATTTGTGTTTCTGGGCTACGCTCAGAAGATAAGAAGGGCGGAGTGGATCGCAGTTCGACGGTTATTGCCAAAGATCCAGAAGGTAAAGAATAAATCAAGTCTATATATCTACTTTATTATTATTATTTTTTTTTTTCTACATAATCGTAATCATAATAATCACACAGTAATAATATTTGAATTAATTGATTTGTTACACATTTTAATTGATTGTTATTTATGTTTAATACTTTCTTTTTTTTTGGATAAATGTGTTTTTTCTTTCTCCGGTTTCTATCTGTTTAATATTCATTAATATAGCAGGTTTACCATGGGCCAATAAACATTTGAAGCAATATTTTGTGATTGGTCGAAACCAATTGTTCAATGTTTGCATGTTATTTTCGTGTGTCTGTATCTCTCTTATTCTCTCGATATTTTATGTGATTCCCTCTCTATCTGTTACTTTGCATCACTATGTTCACTGCAATTGGCTTTTGTTTCGTTGCGTGTAATTTACGTAACGTTGCGCGCGCGCTTTTGATGTATATCTGTTTTTCTAATTTTGGATGAAGTCTTTTGGACGATTGGCTCCGGTCCAGGCTTTTCCGCTTACCGGTTTCATCTCTTCTCGTACTTTTCGAGTTCCTCCTCGGCCGTACGCGTCTGATCACCTCTCGCGAAATTATGTAACAACCGTGCGATGGTCTTACGTTGTTCGTTGTCGTCGTCGTTTCTGTGCGTTTCCATTGAAACTCGGTAAAAATTGGTTGCATTTCGGAGGCCATGGCGGCCTTCGCTGCCGTTTTGGGGGCCTCCTCCAAACGCAGAGAAAGTACGTTCAAAAGAATATCCAAAAAAACAAAGACCAAAACAAACAGTACTAATACGTTAACGCAAATTAACAAAACTGTTGCATCGCTTTTTTTTTAGTCTCAAAATTAAGTAACATACACATAACAAATCGTTGATCACAACAGTAACAACTTAATTGTATTTAACAAATTGTTAATTAGAAAAAAAAAACGTTAATTAATTAACCAATTTTCGTTATTAAACATACATTTCTTATTCCTACATAAAACCAAAGAAAAGATCTTCAATTTTTAACTTTTTTTTGTGATTTTTTTTTCAAATTTTTCACTTTTATTTAACAAATTAACTAAGCAATTATTAAAAGTGAAATTACAATTATTTTTATATATAAAATTCTCAAAATTTTAAAAAAATCTTCTAATTTTCATCTATTTTTGACACTTTTCTTGGGTTTGTTTAATTATTTTAAAGTATTTACTCAAAATTGAACCTAAAGAAATTATCAAAAAAAAAAAGTAAATTAATTCTTCCATTTTTATCTAATTTCATTGAAATTAATAAATTTCACATTGTTTTTCTGTTTAATTTCACAATTTTATTAATGTATTGTTCTTCATTTATTATTTTTATAAAAATATATATTTAAAGAACTTTTACAATACTTTCTTTACTTCTGTAGTTTTTATTCCAACTAATTCATATTTATTAGAAATTATTTACATTTTCACCAAAAAAATCGAGGACAAATGTTTTTTCTGACATTATTAATAATTGACTTATTAATAATTATCAAATAATTGAATAAGTTTTACATTTTATATTAAGATATTCAATAGAATTTTCTATTAAAAAAAACTTATAAGTTACGACATAATTACTTTTAGCTCTTCTAAGAACCTTTAACATATTCATTTGCGTAGTAAAACATGCACGTCGGATGGTCCGAAAATAACTTCGGTCAATATTCCAAGTCTACTGCCATCTCCATCTGCGCTCAGTACTCTTTCTACCCATACATAATTAATTAATTACGTTCCCAAACGAACTGCACAAGTTTTATCTTTACTTTACTTTTTTTGATGTAAGAGAGTTAAAAGTTTGCTTTAAACGAACTGAATATCATTGTTACACATTTAAATTATATTCAAACACGCAAAGTTTCTCATTTTAAGTCTAAGTCGTAATAATGTATGCTATGAAACTGAGTTAAATGAATGAAAATTCCTACTGAAAAATCTTAAAAAAACACCAAATAATAACTTATTGTTTTTCTTTTTTTTTTATTTAAAGAAATTAGACTAATTGAAGAATTTAATTGTATTTTAAAAGTGGTTGAAATTAAAGTAAATCATTATTTTTTTTTTATTAATCATTTGTAAACTTTATACAGAAATCAGTTTTTTCTTTTTGTTGAAAAAATATTTCGAAAAAACACCAAATAAACTTAGTAATTTCTCATTATTATATGAAAATCGACTAATTGAAGATTTGTATAGTATTATAAAGTTATTTAAAAATTTAATTAGTATCGAAGATAATTTGCTTTGAAAATTTCAGTAAATTTTTTATAAAAAAATAATTGTAAAAACATCATGATATAACCGCATTTAAATTAATTTTGTATAATGAAACTAGATTAATTAAAGAATTGAATGTTATTGTAAAAGTTTCCAAAATTCCAATTTTTAAGACAAAAAAAAAATTTATTTTTTGGTAATGAAAATCAGTTATTATTTATTTGAAAATTTGTCAAAAAATCACTAAATTAACCTATTAATTTCTCTTTATATAATTAAACTAGACTATTTGAAGAATGGAATACAGTTGTAAAAGTTTATGAAATTACAATTTTTGGGAAAGAAACAATAATTTGAAATTTGATTAATTTTGATATTGAAAATCAGTTTTTGGTTATTGAAAAATATTTCAAAAAATCATTAATTAACCTATTAATTTCTAATTATATAATGAAACTAAATGAATTAAAGCATTTAATTGTATTCTAAAAGTAGTTGACATTAAAGTAAATCTTTTTTTTTAATCATTTGTTAACTTTATACAGAAATCAGGTTTTCTTGTTGAGCGAAAAATATTTCGAAAAAAACACCAAATAAACTTAGTAATTTCTCATTATTATATGAAAATAGACTAATTGAAGATTTGTATAGTATTATAAAGTTATTTAAAGTTTTAATTATTATTGAAGATAATTTGCTTTGAAAATTACTTATAATTTCAGTAAATTTTTTATAAAAAAAATAATTGTAAAAACATCGTGAAATAACCGCATTTAAATTCATTTAGTAAAATGAAACTAGATTAATTAAACAATTGAATATTGTTGTTAAAAGTTTCCAAAATCCAATTTTTGGGTCAAAAAAAAATTAATTTTTTATTTTTTGGTAATGAAAATTAGTTATTTTTTATTAAAAAATTTGTCAAAAAATCACTAAATTAACCTATTAATTTCTCATTATATAATGAAACTAGACTATTTGAAGAATGGAATACAGTTGTAAAAGTTTTTGAAATTACAATTTTTGGGAAAGAAAAAATAATTTGAAATTTAATTATTTTTGATATTGAAAATCAGTTTTTTTTTATTAAAAAAATTGTCAAAAAATCACTAAATTAACCTATTAATTTCTCTTTATATAATGAAACTAGACTATTTGAAGAATTTAATACATTTAGAAATATTATTGAAATTACAATTTTTGAGACAGAAAAAATAATTTGAAATTTAATTATTTTTGATATTGAAAATAAGTTTTTTTTTATTCAAAAATTTGACAAAAAATCATTAAATTAACCTATTAATTTCTCTTTATATAATGAAACTAGACTATTTGAAGAATGTAATAGAGTTGTAAAAGTTTTTGAAATTATAATTTTTGGGAAAAAATAATAATTTGAAATTTAATTATTTTTGATATTTGAAAATCGGTTTTTTTTTTCAAAAATTTGTCAAATAATCACTAAATTAACCTATTAATTTCTCATTATATAATGAAACTAGACTATTTGAAGAATTTAATACATTTAGAAATATTATTGAAATTACAATTTTTGAGACAGAAAAAAATAATTTGAAATTTATTTAATTTTGATATTGAAAATCAGTTTTTGGTTTTTGAAAAATATTTCAAAAAATCATTAATTAACCTATTAATTTCTAATTATATAATGAAAGTAAATGAATTGAAGCATATAATTGTGTTCTAAAAGTATTCATAATTCACTTGGATTACTAACAAATCTTTAAGAAATTCTCTCTCTAAAGTGTTCATTTTTCTTTGTCCCATCGACCGTTTCTTTGGTTATATTATTTATGTCTGTCTCTTGTTTTATGTTCTCTTCTCGCTTTTGTTTTAACGATGTACATTATTTTCCATGGTTATTGGTACAGGCGCTGGTACTCCGCCGCAGTCGCCCAGGGCGACGACGAGTTCGATCGCCGCCGCCGTTTCGTCGGTGGCGGCGGCGGCGGCGGCGGCGGCGGCATCGGCGTCAACGGTGGCGCCCCCTACGCCGCCCCCCGGTAACGCCAACGCCAACAGACCGACGCCCTTAAATTTGGGCCAGGCCCTTTTGCAGAGCGTCCAAGGTTAGAAATCACGCAACAACAAAAACAAATGCAACAACACTCAAACGAATAACAACTGTTTTGGGTTTCTTGATTTTTAGACTGATTGACCTTATAAAAAATAAAAAGAACAAAACAAATATTAACGAAAATTTCAGATTTACCAAGTTTTGCATTGTTGCGATGATAATTAACCGAAAAAATTAACAAAAATAAAATTTAGTTTTCCATTTGTTTGATTTTAACGTTTAAACATTTTGTGTGATTTTTTTGTTTTGTTTTTCTTTTTTATATAATCGAATTAATCGTAGAATTAAACGAAACAAAACCATAACGGATTGGCACACTCGATTGTTCGAACTGAAATTTGCAAGCGAAAACAATGTTACTATTTCTTTCTTCTCTTTCTAGGATTGAAATCGTTATTTAAGTGCAGTTTTTGTAAATAATTCTCTCTCTCTCTATCTCTCTCCCTGTATATATATAAACGATAAATCATCTGGATTGTATTATATACGTACTTAATCCGGCCATCTCCACGTAATATAAATATATAAATATATCTTCTTCAAAGTTATTTCAATAAACTTTTTGCGATCATTGATTCATTATTATTTACATTTCCCGTTTAAAAACTGTATATAACCCAACAATTTTCTTCTTGTTGAAATTTATTTATTTTTGTTAATCGAGAATGTGTGTTTACGTTGTAAATATGTTCGATAGGTGATTAATTTCGCGTCGTACGCATGCTGTAAATACGGACGGACCTCATTAATTCCATAAATCTGTAAACAGCCTCATTAATTATCAGTCCCGAGTTGCATAACGCTTTTAAATATAAATATATATAGAAAAAAAAACCCGATTATATAACTATTGAAAAAAAAAAGAGTGATTAACGATTCTCTCCGATAATAACGCTGTGTGTTTGTTACTTAATTTAACAGAGAACCTTGTACACTTGTTGTGCAGTCTGCATTTCTATTCCTTTTAGTGCTCTAGTTTTACGTTTTCTCGTCTCTTGTCTTCCCTGTCCATCTTATTGTTATTTTTGCATGTTCTGTTTTCTCTCCGTCTCTTTGTTTCTCTGTGTGTTGTTGTTTCGTGCAATTTAGATGGCATCCACGTGCTTAAATACGAGCAAACTGATAACTGGGTGGATTCTACCATTAAGTATAATAGACTACCCAAAACGGATTCAGGTTTGTGTTGTGTTTTCTCTTTCCGCTTGCTTCAAGTTTCGCTTACAAAAGACCGCCGCTTCCAACCCGTGTTCTCGTAAGCAACACCGCACGTTCCGTCGCGTTCACGTAAATAATTTGCAGTTTGCGAATCTCTCTTTATCAATTTCGAAATGTTGCAGAGTTTCGCTCTAATTGTTTGTTTTGAATTTCCCCAACAAATTTCGATCGAAAGACACGCAGTGTAATTGTATTTAGTTAGGATAATTATTATGAAGCTACGCTTAAGGTTCGTCGAGTAGACAAATTTCAAATTAGATTTACAGAAATTTATTTAATAAATTGTACATTGATATAGAAAACTAAGATTTAATTGAAAAATAGAAAAAAAAGCAATTTTGAATATTTCACTTAAAATTCTGAAAGGTGTAATTAGGTTTGTTGCTAAAACTAATTGTAAACATGAAAGTCGTAATAATTGAATAGACGTGAAGTGGAAGCGAAACGTAAAAAAAACTTTAAAATTAACAGAGGTTTTCTTTAAACTTTTCTATAAAATTGTAATGCAATAAAATGCATCGCTTCGACGACTTTCGAGCTAATTTATTTGCACGATGCAGAAGCAGCAGTATCCGTTGCTTTACAACCATCTAAACTTAAAGGTGGAAAACTTTTATAATTCTGTTTTTTTTTTGTTGTTGCAAGAGACTCTTTTTCACTACTTCTCTCTTAAATAAAGGCGCAGCCTTCATGAATTAATAGCGAATTTAGCGAAATTTTGAATTATGAATAAAATAACTTTTGCAAAGTTGATTAAAAATTGATTATTTTACAATGTGAAAATTGACAGATGACAAAATAAAATTTGCAAGTAAATTGAAATTCTGTTTTTTTTTTTTTCGAAAAACTTTCTTATTTTCAACTTCAAATTATTCAATTTAAAATAAAAAGTTGTCAATATTTACAGATTTCATATGCATCTTTTAGACCCATTCTATCTATAACAGTTTTTGAGAAAAATTGTAAAATGTGAAAACACTACTTTTACTAGTTCAATTTTTCAACATTGAACATGAATTACTACCGAATGGATGAAACCACAGTAATTTATCAATACTCTTTACATTTCCCAATTCAGTAGCTTTCATATGCACCTTTTAGATCCATTCTATCTAGAACAGTTTCTGAGAAAATCTGTAAAATGTGAAAGTACTGCTTTTTCTAGTGTTATTTTTTTCAATTTTTCAACTTTGAACATGAATTACTGCCGAATGGATGAAACCATAGTAATATATCAATTCTCTCTACATTCCCCAATTTGGTAACTTTCATATGCATCTTTTGGATCCATTCTATCTATAACAGTTTCTGAGAAAATCTGTAAAATGTGAAAAGACTGCTTCTTATAGTGTTATTTTTTTCTTCAATTTTTCAACTTCGAACATGAATTACTACCGATTGGTTGAAACCATAGTAATATGTCAATACTCTTTACATTTCCCAATTCAGTAACTTTCAAATGCACCTTTTGGATTCATTCTATCTATAACAGTTTCTGAGAAAATTTGTAAAATGTGAAAACACTGCTTCTTTTAGTGTTATTTTTTTTCTTCAATTTTTCAACTTTGAACATGAATTACTACCGAGCCGAATGGATTAAACCACAGTAATATATCAATATCTCTAATTCCCCAATTACAGAAAGCTTTATATGC